TTGAGAGGTAGCTCATTTTATTTTTATTTTTTTATGGTTACTTATTTAATTAATTTTTTCAGCTTTATTGAGGTATACTTAAAGAATAAAAATTGTATGTGTTTGAAGTATACAATGCGATGTTTTGATATATGTATATATAGTGAAATGATTATCGCAATAAAGATGACATACTCATCACCTTACACAGTTACAACTTTTTGTGGTGAGAACACTCAAGCGCAGGTCTTAGGAAATGTCAAGAATACAGTTAGCCCTCCGTATCCATGGGTTCGGCATCTGTGGAATCAACCAACGGTGGGTAAAAAATACTCAGAAAAAAATCACCTCTGTAGTGAACACAAACAGACTTTTTTCATTATTCCCTAAACAATATACAATGTAAATAATATACAATGTAAACAATAATACAATGTAAATATACATAGCATTTACATTGTATTAAGTACTATAAGGAATCTAGAGATGATTTAAAGTCTATGTGAGGATGTCCACAAATTATATGAAAATATCATGCCATTCTGTGTCAGGGACATGAACACTCATGGATCTTGGTATCCACAGGATCCTCCCCCACTGTTGATCTGAAAGAGGGGACAATCACGGGGTCAATAAGGGTGTGTGTGACATTGGGAAGAACCACTTTCTTTTACCCTTAAATTTTCCTTCATCTTCCTTTCTTTTCTTCATCTTTTTTACCAGTTAAGTCTGGGAATGCTATGTAGCCTACATCAGCCACTCATGTATAGTACTGATATTTCCGAGTAGTTGAACTTCAGACCAGCGCTGGGTGGTTCTCTCTATATGCGAGAACCCACCCTGAGTTTTTATAAGGCGTGGATGTGTGTCAACAATCTGAATTAGTTTATATAAGAGGTTGGGCAATATTGTAAATAGATATTTGTCTTTATTATCCAGATGAAACTTATAAACCTCTTTATGGGATAGTGTCATGCCTTGAGTTTTATAGCACCTTCGTTTTAACAAACTCAGTGTTTCATTCTTTAGGCTTCTTATATCTCTTCGCTTATATTTTTTTATTTTTTTGAGACTGGATCTTACTGCATTGCTCAGGTTGCAGTGTGGTGGCATGATCACAGCCCACCGCAGCCTCGACCTTCTGAGTCCAACCAATCCTCCTACCTCAGCCTCTCAAGTAGCTGGGACTACAGGCATATGCCACCATGCCCGGCTAATTTTTGTATTATCTGTAGAGACAATGTCTTGCCATGTTGCCCAGGTTGGTCTCAAACTCCTGAGCTCTGGTGATCCGCCCATCTTGGCCTCCCAAAGTGCTGGGATTACAGGTATAAGCCACTATGCCCTGCCTGTATTGTTTTAAGTTATGCTTATTCCTTTTAAAATTCAGGATTTGTTAAGCACTTAAAACAAATTTGTAAATTAAAACCTCATTGAGATACCATTTACCACGTAGTTTGATGAACATAACACATAGAGCATTACAATGGCAAAGGGGGTGGGAAAAAGATACTCTTATAAATGTCTGGTGTGAATTAAATTGTGTAACTTGTATGGAGGACACTTTTGTAATAGCTACCAAAATATGTTATCTCTATCTACCTCTCTCTCTCTGACTCAAGAATCCTATTTCCCGGGGTATGTGTTGTGGATATTCTTGAACATTGTGAAATGTATGCAGGGAGTCTTCCCAGTATGATTTGAAACAACCTCTTCATCAATGGGGCAGGCTAAGTCAAGCATGACACACCTATACAATGGATGTGGCCATTAAAAAGAATAAGGCAGCTCATATGTATCAATATAAAAAGGTCTATAAGCTGTACTATCAAATGAAAATAGCAAGGTGCTACCATTTCCATTAAACAGAGGATAAAAATATTAATATATTCATGGTTGCTTGTCTGTGTGTAATGTTTCTGGATATATACATAAGAAGTTATACTGGTTACCTGTGGGGAGGTTACTGAGTGGCTTGTGGGTGAGAACAGGAGGAGGCTTACATTTCATCGTAAACCTTTTTGTATGTTTTGCAGCATTCAAAAATTCCAATTTAAAGTTTAGTTTAGAAAAATGCCCCCATGTATGCAAGTGATTTCCAAGTTCCCTTCAATATTTTTAATGATTATGGAACACACTGAACTTCTTTTTTATTATTCTAGGTGTGAACTCTGTCTGCTGTCTACATGCACATATGTAATTATATTCAATATTTAAATTTATACTAATTTATATGTCACTTGGGTGGTGAGTAAAAAGGAAAATATATTTTTATCAGCAAACTTGGTAAATTGATGAGGTTTCTGGTGTAGTCAGAGATAATTGCTTATTTCAACCTTCGGTAAGTTTTTAAAAACACCTATTCAAAACACACTTATGTATATATGTATTAGTCCATTTTCATGCCACTGATAAAGACATACACAAGACTGGGAAGAAAAAGAGGTTTAATTTGACTTACAGTTCCACATGGCTGGGGAGGCCTCAGAATCAAGGAGGCAAAAGGCACTTCTTACATGGCAGCAGCAAGAGAAAAGATGAGGAAGAAGCAACAGTGGCAACCCTGATACGCCCATCAGATCTTGTGAGACTTAATTCACTATCATGAAAATAGCATGGGAAAGAATGGCCTCCATGATTCAGTTACCTCCCCCTGGGTCCCTCCCATAACATGTGGGAATTCTGGGGGATACAATTTCAAGTTGAGATTTGGGAGGGGACACAGCCAAATCCTGTCAATATACAATGTAAAAACATATCAAACCATATATTGCTTAGGGATATGTGGCTATGTAGTAAAAGCATAAGGAAATGCACAGACCTAATAGACATTAATTTAGTGGGGTCAAGGTGGGAAGAAATAGGATATGGAATTCAAGAGGGATAGGTACATGATTATTCATTGCATTTTTCTTTATATCTTCTTTCATATTTCAAACATTGCGTAATTAAAAAGTATGTGTTACTAATTTGTTTTCAGGAAATTATAGAGTTCTGTGAAATCATAAAAAGATACAGAAACAATATAAGCGTCAATGATCTGTATTTTCCTTATTTTCTGTCACATCACACCGGTACCTGAAACAGAGCCTGACAGAGGGTAGACCCTAAAAAATATTTGCCAAAATGAATAAACAGGCATAAAAGCCCCACAAGCTTCTGAAGTGGTGGCTGGTGGGTTGTGTGATGTACTCGTGTGCCATCTTGTATAATGGGACACAAAGAGAAGAAGGGGACATATCTGATGATGTCTATAACCTTTCTGATGGGTAAGAAAAAAGAACCTGGGAATTTCTCAATAACCGGAAATAGAGATGAAACATAGATGTGACTGGGTCTATAATAAAATTCAAATGCTACCTGTACTCCAGAATACATCATTTGCAAAAGGCCTTTTCATGGCTCTCAGTAAGACTGGGATTTTGTCTTCATGTGTCATACTCAGTGGCCCCCTTTGTGAATGCTGTATATTTGGTTAAGATGGCTAATGTGGGTATAACTCCTGATTCCTCTTAGCAATGCTGTTGCTGTCTTTTATGTATCTGTGCCCAGCCAAGAGCCAGGTTGTATGGGAGTGACTGGAATGACTGACATTTACTACTGCCCACTGGCAGTAGTAGAATAAATCACCTTTGTTTCTTAGGATAGCCATCAGCCATTCAGTTCCCATATTTGTTTAATATTTAGACATAGAATGAAAGGAGTGTGGGAAAATAATTAACATTGTAATCCTACAATAGCTACAAAAGATGTACTAATACATGTTGACAATAAATGAATAATATGCTATTGTTGTCAGTTACCCCTCAATATTTAGCTAGCTAGAGCAGTGCTGTCCAATAAAATTATAACATGAGCCACATATTAACATTTTCTTGTAGCTACCTTAAGAAATTAAAAGAAACAGGTGGAAATTAATTTGAATTAATCCAACCTAAAACATTTTCATTTCAATACATAACCAATGTTAAAAAATTGTGAATGAGATTTTATATTCTTTTCATCTGGATTAAGTCTTTGAAATTCTGTGCATACTTTATATCCTCAATAGGATGCTAAATTTTCATTAGAAGTACTTGATCTGTATCTAGATTTTATAAAACTTACAGTTGAAAAAGTAGATTCACATATCCAATATCCAAACCATTCCATCATATGTGATAGTGGCTACCCTATTGGACAGGGTAGAGTTAGAACTTATTCACAAATTTCTATGTTCGATTTTTTTAAATGATTCTGACCATCTGTTTGTCAGTATGATTTTTAAGAAATGTAATAAAGATTAGACACATTCTTGCACTTGAGAACTTATAAACTAATACAACAGATGTATATCTTGCATTGCGTGAAGTTAGTTTTTTGAATGAGTGTTTCAGCTGTTTTGATGTGCTTAATTTTGAGAATTCAAATTTAAGATCTGAGATTTAAGGTAATAAAATTTTGGGCCAAGTGTGGTAGCTCATGCCTGTAATCCCAGCACATTGGGAGGTTGAGGCAGGTAGATCATTTGAGGCCAGGAGTTTGAGACCACCCTGACCAACAGAGCGAAACCCCATGTCTACTAAACAATACAAAAATTAACCAGGTGTGGTGGTGCACGCCTGTAATCCCAGCTACTCAGGAGGGTGAGGTACAAGAATCACTTGAACCTGGGAGGCGGAGGCTGCAGTGAGCCAAGATCCCACCACGGCACTCCAGCCTGGGCAACAGAGAAAGACTCTCTCAACAACAACAAAAAATGCAATAAAAATTTAGATAATTCTTTCACAAGTATTCTTAAGCTCAGGTTAAAAGATCTAAGAAGTAATATCTTCCAGTTTTTAGAGAAAAATATAATAACTTTAGAAAAAGAGGAAAGAGTCCATCCACAAATAATCAAGTTGAATTTAAGGAAATATGGAAAATATAAATCCACAGTTTCAAAATCTCAAGCATTAGTTCATAAGTGATCGAGTAATTTAGTTGCTGAACATAAACCAGGAGGATTTGATATTAGGCCAATTAGTTTTTTTTCCTTTGTGCGTCAGATGGTGCTGTGCCGACGCTGTAACAAGGTTTGAGCGAGGCGCGCCTCACATATGGGCTTGAGCATCCAATCATCATGCTTGTGAACTACAAAGGGGTCCAGCCAACTAATTCTGAGTATAGATTTCGTTCCAGATTTTTGACAGCTCCCATTTCACACAGGAGGATATTGGCAGTGTGTACATATGGAGAGTCTGTTGCATCAGAGATTGAGTTAGCTAGAAGAGAACTGCTGCAGGAAGGCCACAGTTATTTGTTCCCCCATTAGCATGGCTGCTGGAAAGTTCTAAGAGCTTTTCTGGGCAAGAAAAGGGGGCAAGGATTGATAGCCCGCCAGTCTCCCTCTGTTGATATCTTGTTAAGAGGAATCAAATCCTGACACTTGGGGTTTTTATAGGAAATGGAATTAGTTCTTCCTCTTAAACTCACAAACAACCAAGAATCCACTGGGGATGCTTGACAGTTATGAATAATTTACAGATGTCTATTATGAACTATTAAATTACTAAATAGTTATTAGTTATAGTAGTTATCAATTGTTAAATTGTTAGATTATTAATAGTTGTTCAATAATTCATAAGCAGTTTTATCTATTAAAGTGAGAGGTAGAGAAGGGACCAAGATTTGGTTTGAGTGCTCTTGACCGAGACTGGTCCTCTGACAAGCTCATTTGGGGTGGGTGAGAGGATAATACTCCTCCCCTCTCACCTGACAGCTCCCACTTCACTTTCTTGGCTGAGCATGCCTTCAACCTGATGTTACAGCACATCCTGTAAGAAGCTAGCCACGGGTAATCCATGAAAAATTCATGCCAGCATTGTTGCCAGGCTGTTTGGCCCCTTGCTAAATTTTAAAGACAGAATGGAAGGGACTAGTCAGTATTTCCACGTGTGTGTGTGTGTGTGTGTGTGTGTGTGTGTGTGTGTGTGT